GTGGCTGGTTTATCTCCAGCCGCTCCGTCTCCTGGTTTGCAGAAACGTGGGACTTCCAAGAAGTCCAGCAGCAGTGGCCGTGCCTCACAAAGGAGGCTCAGCGCTACATAGCGTGCTTCGAAACCCTGGCCCAACTGGCGCTAATGCGCATCGCTTGGACAGCCGAGGGACAAGCAGTGCACGGCTTATGCATGCCTTCCGGCACGGAAAATACCGCATCAGAAGCCGGGGTGAACAAACTGTTCACCACAGCATGGCCCTTGCAGATCTTTGTGCAATTAGTCGCCGCATGGGCCTACAAGCACAAATGGTCAGTGCTAGCCTCGCATATCCCAGGCGAGCACAACGTGTGGGCCGATCAGCTCAGCCGCGGCAACACATCCGCATTCAACAGCAAGCCGCAAGCTCGCTTTCGTTTTCGCCCGCATGATTTCTGGCCCCACCAATGCAGGCTATCACTGCATCCGCCCGACGCCCCGTGGCGGCCGGAGCATAAGAGTGCTTCGCAAACGCTCTGAAGAGGGGGTGATAGATTAGGCCGTTTGCTTGGAACCCTGAAGTGGGGGCATATGAGGAGGCTCCGCAGAGGGGTGCAGATACGGGGAAAGGACACGCGATGTCTTCCCCCCTGCACCTCTGAGCCTCAACTTCCAAGCAACGCCTTATAAAGAAAAAGAGCGTGCGCACATGTTTGTCGGTCGCACCCTTTTATCTTGGACTGCATGTTCCCTTTCGGATTGAAGCAGTGATTAAGATTCTAACCCTTCTGTTTTCCCAGACTGGCCACCACCGTTCCGACCTGCCCTGAGCTCGCCTTCCCCTCCGAACCCTTGCGTGTGTCGGTGTCGTCGCCCTCTTGACCCTCTTGGCGACCACCGTGCAGCGTGCTCCCGGTCTGGTGCACTCCGGAGTCGAGGCTGCCCGCTCGAGCGTGCAGCAGCCCGCGTGTGCCGCGAGGCCGGGGCTCGAGTGACCACAAACACCCTTGTCCGTGACCTCAATGTAGCGGTCTCTCGCTTTGATGACCGTCGCGCCGAGGTCATCGCAAACGGGCTCCCTTTGTGGAATGGGGCCCAGCTCGCGGTTGACACGACCATTGTGTCCCCGCTCACCACCGCTGGGGAGGCCCGTTCTCGGCGCAACCCGGCCCGACCCGTCGCCCTTCTTGAGGCCCGGCGCCGCAAGGAAGCAACCTACCCCAAGCTTCTTGCCAGCGCCCGCTGCCGCCTGGTTGTGCTCGGTGTAGAGGTTGGAGGCCGCTGGGGGTCAGAGGCCGCCTCTTTTCTCCGCCTCCTTGCGCGTGCCAGAGCCGCGCCGGAGGCTCTTCGCCCTGCCCTTCGAAGTGCTTATGTCCATGGATGGTCCGGCTTGTTGTGCGCTTCGCTTGCCTTCGCTGACAGCCTCACTTCCTTGCCCTCCCCTTGCCCGGACTTGAGTGACCTTCTCGCGGCGTGCCCATCTTCTCCTGGGGCGTCGCGGCTGCCGGCCCGGTAGCCGTCGTGTGCGCGAGGACGCTGCCCTCCGTAAAAACAGCGTGCAGGTGAGGAAGCTGGCCTCCGAAAAAGCAGTTTGCAGAACCCTAGTGCCCGGGGCCCCCCTTCATTGCGGCAGAGACGCTGCGGAAAAAGGCGCGGAAAAAAAGAAAGAAAAACAGAATGAGGTGGGAGCGTGCACTAGATGTAGGTTCCAATCAGGCGGCTTATCATGCAGCATTGAGAAGTGTACAGCCTATTGGATGAGGAGGGAAGGCAAGAGATTGGGGCGATTAACACATTTTCGAGCAATTTCTAAGAAATGAGCTCAAGAAGCAGTGGAGAAAATAAGATAGCAGCAGCCATCTGGGGGAGGGACCGGTTTAATTTTTTTTTAAAAATTTTTTGGGGGTAATTTCTGAGATATGAATTGCTTAGTACGGGGGGGGGGGGGGGCACCCGGACCGGGTGAGTTTTAATACAGCGTCAACATTATGGCCACGCCCTGTTGCTTCAAAGGACCATCGTTATCCTGTGTCACTTTCTGCCTATTTGTGGTTGAGGCTGGTGTAATTTGTGTATTACCCTGTGTTTCTTGTCGTGGCAAGAGTGGCAAGAGCACACGTGTGTTTCTTGTAGCACGAAAATACCGCTTGTTCAGTTCCCCCATCGGCCATGTTTGCGGCTCCAGCGCTTGGCCCATGGCAAAGACGAACCAAACCACACATCTCATCGCCTTCACAATCTGGAGTGACGCAAATTGGCTTTGTACAAACTACGTTTTTTTCCTGAACAACATGTGTTTTTTGAATCAACACGGATCTTTTTGCTCGGTCGAAGGGCAATGGCGGGGGACGCGGCGCCGGGAGATGCGGCCAAGGCCAGGAAATCAAAGAAGCCGAGGTTTCAGGTAATGTTGACCCCATAGGGGTTGTTCCCCGTCCTTTCCCTTAAGCCCAAAGACCCCTCTTTGTTTATGAATTGGGGTTGATTAATATGGGGTTAACATTAACCCTCTAACTCTTGGTTGCATGGGTGGCTTGGTGGTGAGGGGCTGGTAATTTCCTCACTTATCCTCTATGAAGGCCAGGGGTTCAATTCAATCCAAACCACCAACCAAAGGTTGCCCGAAACGCTGAAAGTAAACGAAACATTTGCCTGCAAGCTTTACGAAGCGGACATATGAATATCTGGACCTTCCAGGTGGCAGTTTTTTCCATCCGCTTTTCTTTGGTCGAAAGCATTTGGAGGTAGCTCAATGCGCGGTTTGGCTTGGAATTGGTTGGGATTCTGACGTTGTACCCTGCCAGGAACCAGTGTTCTCGAAGGAGAATCGCTCGCATCTGGGCAGCAAATAAGTGGAGGCAACCGACCGACAGGAAAGTCAAAGTGAGACCGATCAATCGTACGGTGGGCGCTTTCCCGTTTCTTGATCTTCCTGCGTACTGTCCAGTTGAACACGCGAACCCTGGGCAAGTTCTTTTTCAGCAGGCCCAATTGGTTGGTCTTCAAAACAGCAATGAGCGGACACATTTGCAATTTTCAGGCGACAAACTTGACGGGCTGAGGAACAACGCGGAGCTGAAGCGGCCGGTGGTTCGTGACAAAGGCGGCGCGCTGGCGCATCCCTTGTTCAGGCGAGGGAAACATGGGATTGTTCAGGCCCCCCCACTTTTGTGGTCTGGTGCCGCCATTTTGTGCAACCTTTTAGACGGGCTAAATATTCCAAGTGCAGCCACGTGGGATGTTGACACCACTTCTATGCATCGCCCGCTGCGTGCGGACCTCGCTCCCCCAGTTACAATGTTGAAGCTAAGAGCGTAGCCCCTTTTCCGAGGCCCAATATATTGCAAGTTCAACATTGTATCAGAGGAGCGGGGGCCACAGATGTTACGTTGTAGTGGAACGTGCCATTGGTTTGTTTGCTTCGCACTTGCAATATTTAGGGCCCAGCCGCCCACTTGGTGCCAGGGTACTGGTTTTGGGTAGGCGGTAACCCCTGTGTATATTGTGTCGAATCCAAAACCAAACCGCCAGTCAATTGCAACTTTTGAACGGGAAATCCGGTGAGTCCTGCTGCTAGGAATTATATCGGAGGTTGGGCACACAGCTCCTTGTGCCCCCGCTGGGTGCACCAGTTTCCAACCAAAATGCGACCCTAAGTTACGCCCTTTATAGGCAACCGTGTAGAGAACTGTTTTTTTTTGGGGTTTTGGGACGGGACACAAAAAGGGAATCAATACATTTTGTTGTTCCCTAAATCAAGACAGTATGGGGTCAATTTGAACGCGGGATTGCTCTGTGGGCTCCGTGGGCTGGCTGAAAGAACTTCAGCAGCTCTGTTAGCTGTTTATGCGCAGGCTATCCAGGTAATATCCAGGTACAGTGTTGAATGCTGTGCTAGCAAGAAACACTTCAGGAGGAAACCGATGTGAAATAGGGGGCCTTGGACAAAATGGAAGAAACCTCTCCAGGGAAAGAAGATGAACTTCATGGTTATTCAAGCTTTTTGGGGGTCGCTTGGATTGGGGAGTTTTTGGGTTTCCGTGACAACTGCTTGGGGAAAGCTCAGAAACTGTCGTACTCAGGCAGGCGCGGGGCACCAGGGTTCATGAAATGCCGGGGCAAACGGGGAGCTCCGGGCAAAGGGTCGACTCAAGATAGGAGGTTTGGAGCCTCAAGGTAGGCTCCGACGCATTCTAAAAACCCAAAATTTTAGATGGACCTTGGCGCGTGACTTTCAAGACTTGTGTGACCTTTGGTGTGAAAAATCTTCTGGAAGTGGCAGGCTGCGGCAGACTTCCCACTCAAGCGGAGAATTGGACTTTGAGAGGGCCTATGAACACAGAACGTTGTTTCAGCTTGAGCCAACGGGGTGGGCAAAATGCTCAAACAGTTTGATCCCACACAATCTTTGGTCACGTATTTTTGCTTGTGGTTTTCATTTGGGTTGCAAACTCGGATGAGAACATCTCGCTGATGTAAGCTGAGATCTCAGGCGGGCGGCGGAGTTGGCGGACTCCTCAGTCTACGAGAGCTCTCCGGAGAAGAGCCCGGGAGTCCAAGTGACCGTGGCTTTGGTGGGCTCCGCGGATGTTGTTTTTTGAAGCCGAAGAATGCGCGAAGTCGCGGGTTTTTAGACTGGGCGGTCGCAACCCAAAACAGGCCCACAAAAAAGGGGATGTGAGACGCCAACTCAGAGGGGTTCGCAAATCTTCATTGGGGTCCGCCGACGTGGGTGACACCAATTTGAGTTTTGCGTCCAACGGTTTGTAGGATTTGGAAGTCTTTCAGCCATTTAGATGTCGTGTCTTCTTGGGATGTTTAAGCACAGCCGCAAAGCCCAGTTACCGGAGAAAGGCATGGCAGCGTGTTACACTACTGGCTTTTCCAAATTGGCATCGAGTTGCTCAGACCTCTTTGCCACTGTGTAGAGAGGCCCGGCCCGCATCGACATCTTTGCTCAGACCTCTCCGCGGTGTAGAGAGGCCCGGCGCAGCTCGGCTCTTCGGAATGGAGCCCAGTGCCATGGGGGAGGAGAGGGAGGAGTGGCCCACGGGAGAGGAGGCGCGCCTGCCCATCACGGAGGAGCCGGCGTCAGGGGTGAATGGTCCGCTTGGGGCGGTTCGTGATGCGGCTTTCTTGGTCGCCTTTGGAAGGCAAAGTGAGCCGAGTTTCGAAGAATTGAAAGGGTCCAAAAACGAAACCCTGTCGTTTTTTTTTTGGTTGTGAGGGCCAGGGTCAGACTTTTCATTGAATACTAAGGTTTTGTGGGGTTGGGGTGAGACCCATGGTCTTCAGCAAGTTTTTGACGTGTTTCTTGGTCGGAGTCGAACGCGTTTGCTTGTAGAGGTTTCTCCGAGCTGGACGTGTTTTTGCCCAGGCGGCAAGATATTAAAACCGTGCGTCAATATCATTTGGCCAGTCTTTTTTCATCAATCCAGTTGTTCAAAGTTTCAAGCGTTTCAAGTTTCAAGTGTCGAACCGTTTCAAGCCTGGGCAAAGCGAGCAAACCAAAAGACGGCAAGCAAGCAAACATTTCAAGAACACGAAAGAAAACAAAACAAGGGCGAGGGGTACCCAGTTTCGTCCCAAAGGGTTGGGACCTGAGGAGATGCAGGAGCTGATGCTGGCGGCGGCGCAGTACACAGAGCTGGCCACCTCCTTGCGACAGAAGGGGGAGACAGGAGGGGGACCCGTTCGGCTTCGATGGAGTCATGGGTTTCGTTTCAGGGACGGCCGGCAACCAGAAACCAACCCCAGGCAAGACAAGTACCAAGCGCCACGCACGAAGATCAAACAGAAGACCAAAGAAACCGCGACGGGAGGCCGCGCCGTGCGCACCATGGAGCGGGCAGTGGGCATGTGCGCCAAGAGCGAGTACGACCACCCGGCCCTGGCAGTGGAGACAGCGAGGGCGCGGATCAACCTGGCGGCCGCGCTGTCCGAGGCGATTCGTGCTGCGGGCAAAGGGGAGGTGAGGGAGGCCACTTCGAGTTGAGACAAGTTGCATTTGTTGTGATTCATTCTCAGCCAATGTACTGGAGCGTGGGTTCTTATCATAGTATCGTGCCTGCAACATGCACTGGAGCGCGAGCTCCTCGCATGCAGGTGGCAACCCTGCATGCAGCCATGTTGCGGCTGCAAGCACTGGGAAAAACAGCTGTCCGGTTGGTGTGCAATGACAGAGGTATTCAACCCAGAAAGCAGGGCGGCTATCCAAAAAACCGGACGCAACAGTATTTGGTGTGTAGGAAGCTTTCTGCCGCTTTTTCAGCCCTCACCTCCCCCCCCCCCCCCCTAACACCCCGTTTGAAGCCGGCCCCGCCCTCCGGACTGCGCCGCAGCCACAGACGCATCGACGCGCCGAGGCGTCGAGGCACCGGGCGGCTTTGGGGGCGGTGAAGCGGGCGCAGGGCGCCTTGGGGCGTGTCCTCGCCTGGGCGGAGGCGTGCCCCCAGGACTTTGGCGCGCCTGGGATGAGACTTTGGACTGGGATTGGTGGGTGGGTGGGTGGGTGGGTGGGTGGGTGGGTCCGGTAGGTCTCGGAAATGGGAAAGGGCGGGGGCATGTGTTTTTTTTGGGAGTCGGGAATGCCTTCAACAAGAAAAGTGTGTTTTTCTAAAATGGTGGCTTGTCCTTATAGTTTTCCTTCAATGGGAATTTGTCCCCCGAAGTTCCTTGGAATACGAAACGAAAGGTTGTCCGCCATCTTGAGAGACGGTCGAAATGCCAGTCCATGTTGGGAATTTGGGAGGGACGGGGGACGGGGGGTGGGGGGGTGGGGGACTCACTGGGGGCAGACAACATTTCCCATGTTCAGGGGAACAATATGTTGCGACCATGGCTCAAATGAGGCCAGGGTGCATTCACACACAGATTCATCAGTGTGGCTTGCAGATGGTTGGCATGTCCATATGGAGGTGAATATGTTTGCGCGTGTTCCTACTGCGCCTTTTCGTGTTTGGGGTTCCCTCACTTTCCGTTCCTATCAGACATTCGGTCATTTTCGTCACTCTTTGTGGGGATCGGATCCATTCAAGTTCGTTCTTTTGCTGTCGTTCTTTGCTGTTCGAAAAAAGGGCGAAGCCAAAAGACCCCCAGTTTGGAGGTCCCGAATCCCAGCTTGAAAAGCACTTCCTTCGGCCAAATCCACCTTTTCCCCCCCCAACTTTCCCCCCCCAATCCCCCTCCCGACATCCCATCCCCAGCCCGCCCGCCTCGAGGTGAAGAGCATCTCCGAGGAGGCCCGGGCGCTGCGCTGCGCGGCGCTGGTGGCGGAGTCCATCCAGATGGAGCTCTGCCCAGGCCCCGGCCGGTTGCGGCGAGCCCCGCCTGGTTGGGCCTTTTGGGGCGGGGTTGGGGTTGGGCGGGGTTTGGAAACCAACAGAAAACCAATCGAGTGCCATTTTTTTGTCCTATGGAACACTCTTGGGCTAGTAAAGCCGACCCGAATGGATAAATGGATGGGCTCCCACAGCAGTTGTGTGAGCTGAATCCCGACCTGGCTTCCTTCAACCAAGGCATTAAGACGGGCATGAGTTTGGATCACACTTTTCGGCGAATGCGGGGTGGGGTGGGCTTGGAGGTTTTCCCTTGCGAGCCCGCAGGCGGCGTGCCAGATAGCGCGGAAGACGCCCCGGAAAGAACTGCTCCGTGCCTTGCGCCAAAGGCGCGAAGGGAGGACTTCTTTTTTTTGAAGGTGTGTCTTTTGATGAGGGTATTTTTTGAATGTGAATTCAACAAAAAACACATATATTGGGGCACGTCTTCTTTTGAGGGTACCTTTTTTGACTGTGAATTCAAAGAGCACCACCCATCTCCCAGCCCTATGTTGGCCACTTGGGTCTATATGAAAAAGACGTAAGGGGTCAAGTAGGTGTCGTTTCATGCAGGGTGTGCAGTTGCGTGAAAGTAGATGGCAGAATGTACCCCAGTTTGGGGTTTGGTCATCCTCTCAGCTTCCCCACTTCTGCCGGGAATTGTGCCATCGACTTCCATCCTGCTGGAGCCACCGGGCACAGGTTCACAAATTGCCCTGGTCATGATTTCCAACATCACCTTTTTGGCGAATTCAAGGTACGTCTACTTGTCGGGTGATGTCTACCCTGGCGAGTGAAAAGGTGTCCCGTTTAGGTGCCTCCGCTATTCGGGGGCAAAGCGGTTCCTCTCGGTTTCCCTCGAACAGCGCAACCACACAACAGGTACCCTTAAAAGACCACCCTTGACCCCGGATCTGAACTGTCGAACCCTTCCTCTTACCCGGGTGTCATCCGGATGCAACCCTTCAAAGGGGACATCCCCTCAGATCCAGGATGGCCCTTTGGGGAGTCCTAGGGCGGGAGCTTGGGAGGTGACGCTGCCGCAGATCCAGCGGAGTGCCAGGGCCAAGGAGCTTGTGCATGGCTCAAAGAGAGAGTGCTTGAACATACGGGTGTTTCTTGTTGTTCGATCCAAACCGCCAATCCAAACCACCAACTAAGGGATTGCCTGCAAAATGAAGCGTTCCTGCTGAACACCGCCTTTCTTTTGGGGGGGGGGGGGGGCTGGTTTAAACGGGAGACCAATGGAACACCACCTATGAATTGGGGGAGTTGGGTATGATTTTCCTAACTGGTATCCACCAAAAAAGACCTCCATTAAATTCAGAACCATGACTAGGCAACATATGAGCCACGGACAAAACACGCGAAGACCACTTTATCAAGGCGGGGTACGTTTTTGCATAGCACATGCCAAAACCATGGAAAACGATAAGGTCTCCCCCAAAAACGATAACCCTTAGCGAACACACGGCTCTATAATAACCCCTGCAGTTGCAACTTAGCTAGGGTGGGACCCTTGCGTGGCCACCGTAAAACGAGAAGGCGAGTCGCCACTTTCGAGCTGGAGCTGCCAAGGTGTGCTTCGTAAATACGACACTTGTACTGAGAAGTTGCGATTTTCGAGCTGGAGCTGCGGAAGTGTACTTCGCGTACTAGACTTGTACTACAAAGTTGCGATTTTCGAGCTGAAGATGCGGAAGTGTACTTCGAGTACTAGACTTGTACTACAAAGTTGCGATGATCGAGCTGGAGATGCGGAAGTGTACTTCGCGTACTAGACTTGTACTACAAAGTTGCGATTTTCGAGCTGGAGCTGCGGAAGTGTACTTCGCGTACTAGACTTGTACTACAGTTGCGATTTTCGAGCTGGAGCTGCGGAAGTGTACTTCGCGTACTAGACTTGTACTACAAAGTTGCGATTTTCGAGCTGGAGCTGCGGAAGTGTACTTCGCGTACTAGACTTGTACTACAAAGTTGCGATTTTCGAGCTGGAGATGCGGAAGTGTACTTCGCGTACTAGACTTGTACTACAAAGTTGCGATTTTCGAGCTGGAGCTGCGGAAGTGTACTTTGCATACTAGACTTGTACTACAAAGTTGCGATTTTCGAGCTGGAGCTGCGGAAGTGTACTTCGCGTACTAGACTTGTACTACAAAGTTGCGGTTTTCGAGCTGGAGATGCGGAAGTGTACTTCGCGTACTAGATTGTACTTCGCGTACTAGACTTGTACTACAAAGTTGCGATTTTCGAGCTGGAGCTGCGGAAGTGCGCTTCGCGTACTAGACTTGTACTACAAAGTTGCGATTTTCGAGCTGGAGATGCGGAAGTGTACTTCGCGTACTAGACTTGTACTACAAAGTTGCGATTTTCGAGCTGGAACGCTGTGGAAGTGCGCTTTGCGTACTAGACTTGTACTACAAAGTTGCGATTTTCGAGCTGGAGCTGCGGAAGTGTGCTTCGCGTACTAGACTTGCACTACAATTTTTCGATTTTCGAGCTGGACATGCGGAAGTATACTTCTCGCACCACAAAGTTTCGATTTTCGAGCTGGAGCTGCGGAAGTGTACTTCGCGTACTAGACTGTTACTACAAACTTGCGATTTTCGAGCTGGAAAGCTGTGGAAGTGTACTTCCCGTACTAGACTTGTACTACAAAGTTGCGATTTTCGAGCTGGAGATGCGGAAGTGTACTTGTCGTACTAGACTTATACTACAAAGTTGCGATTTTCGAGCTGGAGCTGCGGAAGTGTACTTCGCGTACTAGACTTGTACTACAAAGTTGCGACTTTCGAGCTGGAGCTGCGGAAGTGTACTTCGTGTACTAGACTTGTACTACAAAGTTTCGATTTTCGAGCTGGGGCTGCGGAAGTGTACTTCGCGTACTAGACTTGTACTACAAAGTTGCGATTTTCGAGCTGGAGATGCGGAAGTGTACTTCGCGCACTAGACTTGTACTACAAAGTTGCGACTTTCGAGCTGGAGATTCGGAAGTGTACTTCGCTTACTAGACTTGTACTACAAAGTTGCGATTTTCGAGCTGGAGCTGCGGAAGTGTACTTCGCGTACTAGACTTGTACTACAAAGTTGCGATTTTCGAGCTGGAGATGCGGAAGTGTACTTGTCGTACTAGACTTGTACTACAAAGTTGCGATTTTCGAGCTGGAGATGCGGAAGTGTACTTCGCGTACTAGCCTTGTACTACAAAGTTGCGTTGTTAGAGCCGGATCTGCGAAAGCTCGAAAACACTGTAAAACGATAAGGTCTCCCCCAAAAACGATAACGTTCAAAAAAGTACTAGGGCCAAGTAAAGTGTTTCGTCCGCTCCTCATATATCCATCCATCATGATCAACTCATTGCAACATGCAAACATACGTAAATACAAACATACATGCATACATACGTACATACATACATGTATACATACAGAACGTATATACATGCATACCCACCTACCTACCTACCTACCTACCTACCTACCTACCTACCTACCTACCTACCTACCTACCTACCTACCTACCTACCTACCTAACCTAACCTACCTACCTACCTACCTACCTACCTACCTACCTACCTACCTACCTGCCAATGCATGCATGCATGCATGCATGCATGCATGCATGCATGCATGCATGCACACATACACACACACACATACATATATGTATATATATATACACATGCACATGCACACATACACACATACACACAAAACCAACATATATATATATATACATATATACATATATATATACATACATTTACACATACATGCGCACACACACACACATATATATATATGTAGATGCATACACGTACATATATACACACATACACATATGCACACACACACACATATATATATATATATATGTATATATATACATGTACATATATACACACATACACATATGCACACACACACACATATATATATATATGTATATATATATATACATGTACATATATGTACATGTACATATAGATATGCATAAACGGTAGTTTTTCAATCATCCCCTTTTGGCTTCTTCGTCACAGGAGGAGCAGATGCCCCCAGCGCCGGTGAAGCGTGGGGCGTCCCACCGCCGGGTAGGACCCGAGTGGCGTGGGGGGCGGAGTCAGGCCATGTGTGGGCCATGGAAAAATCCGTTGAAAGGCAACTCCGAGGTTTAATCCCGGTAGGCCACTCAAGGGGCATGCTGCTGCAAAAGAACCTCTTGCAGAATTGCAAGGGCATGCACATTACTCAAATGGTTTACTCAAGTGATTATGACTTTTACCTCCAACAGCTGAAAGTTATGGGGTCTGCGCCCACGGCTTGGAGGTTCTGAGGAAGGTTCCAGGCACGCACGGGGCGGTTCCAATGAGGGTTCTGGGGATGCAAGGGGCGGTTGGGGCTGCCTGGGCGGGTTCCAAGGAAATTCCGGGGCGGGGCAGTTCCAATGAGGGTTTTAGGGGATGCATGGGGCAGCTTCGAGGAGTGACGCAAATGTGCTCCATGCTGTTGGCGACATCACCTGAGCTTATGTGTGGCAATAAGTTTTTTCACGAACCCCTTCTAATTGGAAGACCATGTTCCTAACAGTACCTCTCAGGTTCCACGTTTACTTTTGGGCGGGTGGCAAAACCCATGAGGTTTCCGAGCGCAGGAAGCGAGCCGAGGGCCTCGGCCAAGCTGCCGGTGAGGCCCCGCGCTGGCACGGAGGACTCGGGTTGCAGGGCATTTCCCAATTTTTTTGGACCCAAAAGCCAAGGGTTTCGATGGATCAGAGCAAATCGATCAACTTTTTATGGGGGAATCTAGGGAGTCCCCTTGGGTTTGCCTGGGTTTTGTTGAAGTGGGATGTCCTAGAGACCAGCCATGTCTCCTAACTATATACTTGAAGGATAGTTTCCTTGGTTCCCATCGTAATAAAAATCAAATTACTGGCGCGTTGTTGGCTTTAATATGTGGTTCATTCCTGTGATTTACTGGTTTGAAAGGTCATACGGAGACATATGACTTCCAAGTAATGGCTTGACCAGAAGCAGGGGGGAGGGGGTTGGTCCGGCTGCATGCAGCCCCCTTGAAAAACAGGCGTTCACTTCCAAAGGAGCAGCCAAACAACGTGGTGAAAGTCAACACCAACAAACAGGCGCAAGTTGAACGTCAAACAAGTTCAAGCTCAAGTAATTTCGGCGCTTTGCACATGTGTGGGGGCAACACGCGCCGCATCTTTTTTGGGTGCCCCCATTACAACGAGGAGCGATCCGACGTTTTCTCAGACTTCCTCCGGAATGTGGAGGCTGAGCGTGTAGCGCGGCTGGGGTCGTTGACCGCGGCTTGGCAAAGAGCTAGGGCCATTCTCATCGCGAGGTGTTTGCCTGGAATCCTTCTCAACACTTTTGGGAACCTTTTTAAACGCATGCTCAGCAACGATTTGTGATGACAGGGGGGGGGGGCGGGGGGCGGAAGTTCCTCGCTTAGTTGGTGCTCCTTGTTCTTGTGGAGGGAAGGGGACATGGTCAAGCTGGTTTAAAGGGAAACGGTTCTATTTGCATTCTAGGCTGGCTCAATATATCAGAGACTCATAACTCTTATTTTTTGTGTATTCCGGATGTGGGCCAAGGTTTTGGAGTCTTCAGATTGTTTAAATCTTAAATATATATATATATATATATTTTCACACATATATATATATATAATAGGGACAATTCAAAAGTGGTTGGTGGGGATCCATACCCACCACTTTGGTCTTCCTTTTGGTTTCCCATGAGAAAATGCCAAAATACAGAGGTACCCTCCCTTCCACGAATATGGCACGGGAGGGTACCTGGAAGACCATTTTCCTCTGTAAGGGAGGGTACCAACTCCCAAAAAGACGTCCAAGCCCATATGAGTCACAATCAAAACCCGGGTAAGTGAAGGTTAAGGAACAGTCCCGGCCAGAAATAGCTGCGGATCTCCGCCTTGATTTTTTGCATGGTTCTGGGTCGACCATGTTAATACCAGGTTTTGATCGTCACTCATATTGAGACAGCAAGGACTGGGAGGAGCACGCGAAGCGGCGGCTGGGGCAGGTGCACCGATCGGCCCAGCTGCAGCTGGACCTGGGCGGAGACGAGGAGCTCAAGGAGAAGAGGTCAGCCCCAAAAAGATGGTTGGAACCAACCCCCAGTTGCCAGTGGGGGACTTTTGTCCTTTTTTCTTGGGGGAAGGGTTGGCCTTTAAACTGAACCAGCCAAAAAAGGACACCTTTTTTTGTTTCTTTTCCGCATGGCAACCGGACGTCTGAGAACCAACTCAGGGTTGTGGGATCACTCGGGGTTTATTCAACCACTTCTGTGATACTTTTGGGAATCCCCCTGTATATTGGGGTTAGTCTAAAGTGGTCATTTCCCACAGCCCTGTTTTGGGTGGCTCTTCTTTTTGTTGGAGTCGGTACACTTTTAAGTTCTGGTTCTTAAAGGGAAACGAAGAGGGCAAACAACAGTTTTTGTTTTGTTTGTTTTGTCCGGAGTTGGTGCCTTTTCTTTTTTTTTGGGGGGGGGGGGCAAAAAGAGACACACCCAATTTTCAAGGGACATGACCAACAACCCCCACCCAAAGAAGAAAGTATGAACAGTGGGTTAGAGCGGAACCAAACGGCTGCGCAAAGGGAAACCTAAACGGCCGGCGGTTGAGATCGTTGAATCGCCATGGGTTGAATCGCTGAATCGCAGGTACACCCACACGGGGCACCAGGTCTTTATGAAGGCCCATGGTTGCATCGAGGGGTGGTGGGGGGGGGTTAGGCAAGGGGTCGGAGCCAATGTGCCACCCCGGCGCCAGAAAACGGGGGGTGGGGGGGTGGCACGGTTGGTTGCATAATGGGAGTGTCTGGGTCCAAGGGGATGGATGTTCAGCCTGGCCATGGAAGAAATGTCGAAGGGTGTAACTGCAAGATACCTGCGGTTAGGCCCCTTGTAAGCCTGGCAACTGACTGCTCGCTAAGTGCTAAGTGGGTTGAACATCCAAGTTGTCTCCAAATGCGTCCTTCAACGTTTCGGTCCATCCCCCTCAAACATGGGACAAACATAGGGATGACCTAAGAGGAGGGGAGCAGGGGCGGGGGGGGGGGGCCGGGTCTGGGATGTTCAGCTCTAGACATGCATGCGGAGATCTAGATGTTTGTGTAATCACGTCGGTTCCAGGGCTTTGGTTTCAACCTGTTAGAACTGCCTCGTACAAGCCAAGCACAGGACTGCAAGACCCAGCTTCTGACCACTTCCCTTGTGAATGCTTCGTGGAATTCGTGGAATCCTATCATATCCTACGTGTACAGTTCCGTCACGCGTTCGAAAGGGCGTCGTGCTCAGCTCGTTTTGGCTGGAGGCCATGAGGAAGGCGAACCGGTGCTGGAGCGACCCGGTGCTGGTGCAGGAGGCGGCCAAGGACCGGAGCTGAAAATTTCATCACCTCGAGCTTTTGCATCCCTTGCTTGCCTGGACAAACCAACCTCCCATGGCACCTAAGACCAGTAAGGGGTCCATGATTGGCCGCTTATGGGAGATTTCTGGGGTTGGTCTCAAAATGGGGGACCATCCCCCCCAACAAAGAAAAAGCGCAACAGAAAGACAAAGAGGTATCTTTCCGGCTTCCACAAAAAGCCATCAAACATAGAAGCGACAAAATCTTGACCCGCCCAAAAAAAACGCCCCCCCACCCCCCCGTCTCCCCCCCCCCCCCCACCCCCACTCTCCCCCCCACCCAAGCGCGGCTTTTTTTGACTTGCAGGAGAAGGCCACCCCCGAGATCTGCCAGATCCGGAAGCTGAACCGGCAGCTCTACGTGAAGCCCCCGACCCCGCCCCCGGCGCCCACGAAGCCCAAGGTGGACCAGTCCTTGGCCAACAACCTGCGGAGCAACCAGAGGCGAGCACAGACACCAAAAAATCGAGCCATGTCTTGACTGCTCTTGGGTAACGGATCTTTAGACTTTAGCTTTTTGGTTGAAATAAAAGGTGTTTGTCACTAAACCCCCAAAAAGTTGTCCACTTTTTGCAGGGGGGTCAACAGAAACCAAGATGTGGCATACAGGCCGTGCTTTGGGTTGCAAACAACCGGGTTTTGGAGGTTTAGGGGGGCCGGGGGGGGGGGGGGACGCCAAATCAGTTGCCAAGGTTTCCGGACTCTTAGACTCGAACGCATTTATTTTTTGAGAAACGACCAGTTTCAGGTTCGGCAAGTACTCACTCACTGAGAAGCCCCAAACTCGAAGTTGAGCATGGCAAAGCGATCGAACCTGAGCCCTGAGCCTTGCTCCAGACCGCCTGTTGCAGGTCGAGCGTCCTGGCTTCCTGAAGGTGCCAGGTTTCACCGTGTCACCCTTTGCTTGAAGCAAAGCCCACATTCGCTTGGCCCCGTTCGCTTGCCAAAAAACAGCTTCTGACATGGAAGGCTGCGCGCTTAGACAGATACGCACACATGTATATCACATTAATGTGTGTGTATATGCATAGGTATTCATATACGCATACAGTTATGTTCTTTCTTTAGTTAGTATGTTTTTATTCATGTCTTGATTTGATGTCTTATTATGATAGCGCACATGCACGCATGTATGCGTATGGACATGTTCGCAAGCATTGTGTGAACCTGTATGCAACTATATGCGTGTACATTCAGAGGTACATGTACACAGACCTGTGTTTTGCACGTGGGGTGCGCATTTGCGAAGACTGGATGCTGATTTGCAGGATGACAGGGGCCAAAGTGCAGTAGAGCCAATGAGGACTGGCAGCCCTTGGCGCGTGAGGCAAAATGAGGGGGGAGATACCTGGATGGGGCGGGCGGCAGCCGATGGTTTACAGCAGCGTTGGGCAAACATTGCTTGACCGGCCAGAGTCAAGGGATAATGCGGTTCAAACATGGTTTGCCCATGGTGGTCGCAAATCTGTGTTTCTTTCAGCTTGTCCAAATCTAATATGGGGGCAAATAGGGGAGGCCCCAAAAGGAGTGCTTTCCCTTTGGTTTGCATCTGAACCGACCTGAAACGGCTGCCCTCAGAGGAAGGACGCCTCCCAACTGGTAGATGAAGCGGACCTGTTTTGCACCCTTTTAGGTTGGGGGGGAGTTGGGTGTAGGGTACCCCAAAACCCAGGGATTCCCTTCTAGGGTGATGGCTCACTGGGTTTAAGTCTACCCTGGGGTAGTCAAAAAGTGGAACGCTGGTTGGGCGTGTCATTTTTTCGGGGAATGCCCACTTTTTTGTTTGTTTGTTTAATTTATTGGGTTACCCCTTGAAAACAGCCCCCCCCCCAAAAAAAAAAGGGGTTCCCTTAAAAAGAAGAAGCACAGTTGGCCCAAAATCAGTGAGGCACCGCCGCCTACAGCGCCACAGCTCGGGCTGCGAGGGAGGCGCGTGGATCGAAATGGTTGGGCTTGGTCGGTGTACCAACTTGAATGCTTGTATAAACTTTGGTGCATTTTGCCAAGGGATGTTAGGACTGAATCACTTTTCGCCAACTAATGGGTTTTCGTGTTAAACCAATAAAAGTTAAACTTTTAGCAGGGGAGCAGAAAGCAACCGATTAAAATCTACTTGCGAGTTGGTCTGAAGGTCCAATGCAACCTCAGTCGCGCAGATTCTGAGGCGATTCCCTAAACCCCCAAAGCTCCAAAGCGTAATAAACGACAGTCCCGCTTCCCCACTAGAACGTGGAAAGATGGGGTGGTTCAGTAGGGTGGGCATTTTGGCAAAACGGCATGGGGTCGATTTCCGCCCATTGCCCGGACTTATGCTTTGCTGTTTAGGCTTGCCATTTCGGTGTTCCTGGTTTGTTTGGCTGGACTGGTTTGACGCCGCCCGCTGTTTTCATCTTTCCCGGGCGCGTTGGTTTTTTTCACATGCGCGGGGGGATGCCCACTCCCTTGGGGGCAGATTCGTCAGAGTCCTCAGGTTCAAAGGCTTTTCCCGCAGTTGGGTCCTTTGAAACCATGGGGCCCTAAGGGTTGGCCAGTACGTGGCAAGTGGCGAGCTGGATTTTTCCATGCCAAGGGTTGGAGCTAACCCCAGTTACCCCAACCCACTTTGGCAATCCGAAGCGAGTAATCGCCAGTCCTTCAGCCGTGGAGGAGACGCCTACAGTGTACGAGAGCCGGCCGCAGCAGAGCGCGGCGGCCGCGGCGGCCGCGGCTGGCTACGGGGAGACTGCCGCAGCAAGGAGTGGGAGTTGCGTTTTCAACCTCATGTGGCTGTGGGTCAGAACCAATGGTACCTTTTGGGGTAGGTGCACCACCCATTTTAGTCTATTCACGAAACGTAGCCTCAAGGAGGCTAGCTTGAGATTGTGTTTGAGTTAGCAGGGGGTCCGGGGGTCAGCCCGGCCGCAAAACAAATGAAATATTCGACTCCCCCGTGGTCCGCCCTCTGCCGCCCCCTGCGTGCCTGATTGGCAGCTTCGCTCCTTTTTCCACTCTTTTCGCTCGCTTCGCTTCACACTTCGGTCCGCTTTTTGCACCAAGTCACGGTGCACCTTGTCCCTTCCTCGCTTTGTCAGCGCCACACTTTACATGGTCAACAAGTGCTTCTCTTTGTCGCGGAACGGAAATTGCCTGTTAACATGGTCAAGCTGTTGAGCTCCATGCGCACCTTCCTTTCCTTTTAGAGGACACGTTAGGGAAGATTCATTAGGGGGGCCACTTTACGGTCTCCTACCTTTCGTGTCTCCCCTTCTCACGTTTAGTGTGGGGATTGGGATGTTCACTGGGGGTACGGGCTTCTGACCCATGGCCATGTGTTTATTGTTTCTTCAGGCGGGAATGGCGCACATACACCGGGGGGTGGGGGCATAAACCGAGCGAAGTTGAGGTCAGAAAGCAGCTGGGGAAAGGCAGGGATTTAAAACGCTCGAAAGGGGAGGCTCCACGGTTGAGATGGTTTGCAGGGATTGTAATTTGATGTGTTAGTTGTGGGCCAAGATCTAGATAAATTTCAGGTAATTATCAGGGATGCATGCATGCCGGGGGGGGGGCGAAGCGCGGGGGGGGGGGGGGGGGGCGGGGGAACCCAGCAAAGAGTGTTCTGACACGAGCACCCTGGCCTTTTTTCCGCACAGCACTAGACCTGCAAAAAAAAGAAAAAAAACGCGCATGCGCATCTTGAGACGATGGTTGGGTCATGTTCATAGTGGCGCCCCAGGGTTGCAAACAACATCCCCAGGCTGAAGGGCACCTTTCTGGGGCTCCCTGGCTCAGTGTGGGCTGCTGGCAATGAAAAGAACACGGGCACGGCGCGTCCATGCATTTTAAAGTGGACCGCCCGTTTCTTGGGGTGGTTTGCACGTGAGCCAAAAGGGAGCCCATTTTTCAGGGCACCTGGAATGAGACCAGCCTCCCTCGCACGTCGGCCAGGGCACTTATCGAGCAAGCTGCGGCGGCAGCGCCCACGGTTTTTGCGCCAGCCTCAGGGTTGGCTTCGGCGTCCGGTCGCTGGGTTTCTTTTGAGAGGCCTAGTGGAGAGATCGTTTCCTCAAACAGTGAAGGAGTCCTTGTTCTCCCGGTTGCTCAACCAAGCTGGCTTCCCAATTGAGCAACCCAATTGGCTCCCCAATTCCCGGTTCTTCAACTGGCTTCCCAACTGACCACAGCTATTGCCTCATTCGTGCAGTCCGCCTGATGCGGGCGACGTTTCGCCTCTGTTTCATTGGGCCATGGGCAGCTTTGGTCTAGGGCTTTCTTTCCGTCAGCTGAGCGTCAGTCAGAACCTGCATGCCTGGATGGTGGGTTCACCATCCAATGGCGACTTGCCGGGCGGTCTTTGGTGATGACCTGACCTTGGCAATTGGCTTGTTTTGATCTTTGGGAAACGTAGCTTCTGTTGTTTCTGGCGCCGTTTCTGGCGTTTCTGGCGGGGGCCCCTGCTTTTCCAACCCCTCCCCCCCCCCCCCCCCCCCCCCCTACCCCCCCCGATTTTCAGCACTCTACTTACCTCCTAGTCATATTGGGTCCAAGACACAAGCTCATGGGTGTGCCTCAAAATGGGGGATCCTCAAACAGAAAAAGCACGCTTTCCACTCCCGCTTCCCAAACCCCGGCCCCCAACGCCGAGGAGAGCCAGCCGCAGCAGCGCTCGGCGGACGCCTCCTTCAGCGTCGCCGGCGGAGAGAGCCACGGGGCCAGCTGTTGGGAGAGCCAGCCGGCCGCCTCCAAGGCGCCGAGATCTTTTCGCGCGCGCGAGAAGCCGCGTGGGGTGCTGGGTCGGCTTTTGGCCGTACGGCCTAGACCCTGGACTGCTACTGGGCAACGGGTCTTTTGCTTTTTTTTGTTTGTTTTTTGTTTTTTTCCCCTCAACTTTTTGGTTGACATCAAGGTGGGTTTTCCGTTCTAAACCCCCAAGAACTTGAACTTTCTGCAGGGGGGTCAACAGCAACCAAGCGCCTCATACCCGGATTTTTCTAGGGTATGATGTCGACCCTTGAAGGTGAAAGACTCTGGAAGGCCATAGTTTTGGAGCAAGGTGCGTGCTTTGTTGGAGCAAAGTTGTTGGAGACTCACGCTCGTGGGCCTCATGACGGTTCCGTTATTTGTGTAAACGTGCGTTTAAGTGAGCCATGCTTTGAGGGAGGTTCAAGCCGAAGGGGTGGCCAAAAAGTGGGGGAGGTCACGTCTGGATGCGCATTTCAGCACATTGACCTGTGCTCCTTTTGCTCTCCAGGCTGATGCTGATGCTGATGCTGATGCTGATGCTGATGCTGATGCTGATGCTGATGCTGATGATGATGATGATGATGATGATGATGATGATGATGATGATGATGATGATGATGATGATGATGATGATGATGATGAGGATGAGGATGAGGATGAGGATGAGGATGAGGATGAGGATGATGATGATGAGGAGGAGGAGGAGGAGGAGGAGGAGGAGGAGGAGGATGAGGATGAGGATGAGGATGAGGATGAGGATGAAGATGAGGATGAGGATGAGGATGAGGATGAGGATGATGATGATGATGATGATGATGATGATGATGAGGAGGAGGAGGAGGAGGAGGATGAGGATGAGGATGAGGATGAGGATGAAGATGAGGATGAGGATGAGGATGATGATGATGATGATGATGATGATTGCGGGCGAGCAGAGATTAGTTTTGGCACGCCCTGGTAAAGGCTCGGAAGGAACGAAGCGATAGTTTCGGGTCGTCTGGCCAAGTCTTTTTCGGACGTGAAGACATCGCCACAACTTCTGGGCAAAATCGCATCCCGCAATTTTCCCAAACGTTTTAAATGAAAGCGAAACATAACCTTTTGGGCTTCCCCTGATGGGTATGTGTCAAAATGGAAGGACCCTCCAAAATTGTGGTTTGTTTTGGCTTTCCTCTACGCCAACCTGAAAAGGGTACCCTCAAAATGCCCAAGCCCACATGTTCACTTCAAGGAGCTCAGCTGCATGCAAACCAATTCTGCCGTGCAAGTGCGGGGGCCGTAGCGGGCAGGGCCATTGTTGCTCTACATCCCTTCACGCCTGGTATTTCGAAGGTTCAGGTGAATAACATGCAGTGCCCAAAAGAGGGGGGCCATTGTCCATGCAACTGGTTGAGGGTTTTTGGCCTGCCATGTCGCCTTTCAGGTTGGGCGGGGCTTCCCCGCTTCACCCCTCTCCCCCATGCAAGCCAGGCCGACGCCTTGCACAGAGGCCGGGGGGTTGCCAAGCCGCGAAAGTCGGCTGGATGGGATGGGATCGTAGAGTCTTTGGAATGTATGAGCCAACATTGAGTCAAGTCAAATGCCTCTCTTTTTCTGGCTTCACTTCAAGCAGAGCAACATATCTCCAGCCGGCTTCAGGTGGGCCTTAACTGGGATCTCTTTTGACCTCTCTTGCATTTCAAGAGCACCGTCTCGGCCCAGGTGGCCTCTCCAATGAACATCAACCCCCCAACACCCGTCAGCCGCTCTGAGCCACACAGGACCTCTTCCGAACCTTGGATCGGGAACCTAAATGGAGTGAGTGGGGGTTCATCACCGTAGGTGCCCCCACCCCCTTTTAGTAGGACGTTGTCCCCCAACAGCTGAAAGCTTGGGCGACCCTGAGGTTCGGTTCCACGAGGGTTCCACCAGGGTTCCACCAGGGTTCCACCAGAGTTCCACCAGGGTTCCACCAGGGTTCCCGAGGTTCTGGGGCTGCGGGGTTGTGCGAGCACTAAAAAAGAGCACTGCGTGCCGTTGGGGATGTCACGTGAGCTCTTTTTCCTCCGAAACAGCTGAACGCTTTGGGGTCTCAGCTCAGGTCGGCTCCGGGGTAGTCTGGGGAGACCCTGAGGTAAGGTTCCACGAGGGCTCCACCAGGGTTCTACCAGCGTTCCATGCCAGGGTTCCATGCTAGGGTTCCACCAAGGTTCCACCAGGGTTCCAGGAGGTTCGTGCGAGCACTAAAAGAGCACTTCATGCTGTTGGGGATGTCACCGGAGTCTTATTTTTGGTGGGGGGGGGGGCGAACTTCAAGCCACCATTTGAATGATTTTGGGCATGTCGTTAGTGGAACCTTAGGCCGGATTTGGGGCAAACCATGGGAGCGACGGTTAACCCTTATTTGGCAACCGTTTCTTGGGTACCCGTTTTGGGCTCATTTTAATGGACACTGCATTTAGTTTTGTGGGACCCCTATTCCATGTACGCTTTGTGGTGAGGGCTCCTGTTTCCATGACGCTCTAGGCGGCGCCAATGATGCCGCGGAGCTCATCCAGAGCGCCGCGGAGCAATATTCCTCCGGGCAGAACGTCGTGTGCCGCGCCGGGCCCGGCCATCATTCAGCCCCGAAGCGAGGTGTAGGTGTGTGTTTGGGTCGGACTTGCATGCGGAGGGAGCCATGGGGTTATGGCCTTGGCGCCCAAAAGTCACTACTAGTTGATGCCAGGTTAATAAACCCATCCTACGTACCTCCGAAAGTGAGCATGAATCCGCAGCAAACCAGGGACCCTATGATTCAAGCAGGGTTTCTTAATCCGCAGTTCCCAAAAATCACGAATAGCTACATGGAAGCTGCGTAGTTCGCCTTGCTGTGGCTCCGAATCAGCATATGAGCCATAATCAAACCCGGGTAATTGGAGGGTAGCACGGGACAATTCCAGCCACAGATGGGTGGGTATATCGGCCTTTTCAGTTCTCGAAGCGGCAACCCTCCATAGCTATGACCAGGTGTAACCCGCCGTATTTCCTACGATTTTTGGTCCCCCATGCGTTCGGACGTTCCAAATGGAACGGTTCCAGGTACGAGAACGCGCCTTTGGCCAGCGGCGCGCATGCCTGCCATGGCGCCGCGGTGCAGGTGGGGGCTCGTGGGGGCTTGTTTGCGGTGGATACCGGGGGAGCTTCCAATTGCAGTCTTTCCAAGGATCCGAGTCTTTTCAGGAAACCTTCAAACACCTGGAAGAAACAGCCGGTTTTTGAAAAGAAACAATAATAAAAAGTAGTGGTTGAACTCAACCGATAGATATATTGGCAAGTGTGGGAAGGCTCGCCTGGAGATTGGGCTTACCCGTCACCCTGTTGACCGGGACCTGAGGTTCGGGAAAGGATCCCTTAAGGAAATGGTCCAAAGGATCCCCCAACGTCAGGTTCCAATTGGGAGGGTGCTGCTAGTGTGGTTACTTGCCATTTCCAGCCATCTCGGTTTCTGATGGCTTGTGGCAATGGAAAAAAAAGCAGGGTCCTGGGAAGAGTTGAGGAGGCTTAAAAAATTCAACCGGCAACAGGAAAGTAGCTTGTAACTATGACTCAAGACTATGACTGTGATATGCCATGGTCACTGGAGCTGGCCTTCCTTCCAATCATGGAAGTGGCCAGGGGGTTCCTCAAACGTCTGCTCATACGTTCCTGTCAGCTTCCCCTACCCTGCAGAACGCATCATCTCCATGACGGGTACGCTCAATCATTCCATGAACTTTGATCTCTCCCCTTAAGTCGGTCTCAAAATCACGGACCATCCGGTGTACCATTTTGAGACATAGGACACTTGGTACCGTGTTTACCCCAGAACGAGTTTTAGGGAACCAGCAGGTTTGCGAGACAGCCAGAAGGAAACAATGGTTGTGGCAGTGCCAAGGAATAACAAGGGACAAAGCCAGACATGCAAATCAGCCGTTTCGGCATAGACCATCCCCCACCCCTCCCCCCAAAAAATAGTAAAAGGAGAATTCAAAGAATTATTCTTTCTACTATTTTTTCTCCAACAGCAACACAACAAACAGAAAACAAAATCCAGAACAACAAGCAAACAAAATAAATAATCACAACCAGCAACAAAAATATTTAATCACAGCATGCAACATTAAATAATTCAAACAAGCATACCAACAAAACAGCAACACTCTAAATCATCAAAGAACCCAAACTCAAAAACACACATCAACAAAAATCAAAGCAACATACCAACAAAAAATATCACAAGAGTATCAAACAAAACAAAAACAAACAGCCAAAGCACGAAAAAATTGAAGAAGCATGCCAAGTCTAAACAACGCACTTTGAAAGAGATAAGCAAATTATAATAATTCAATCTTTACAAACGATAAATATATTACAATTATAACATATAATATTTTACATGTGATAATCATAGTATGATTATAATTTCAGTACAGGATAATAATTTAATTGATTTGTCTTACTTCTTTCATACATCATTTTAAAAATAATATTAATATCTCTCAATGTATTTTGAACATTAAAATTTTTACTTTCAATAAATAATTTGATATTTTCTTTAACATCTTCTCCTTTCTCTTGACTATAACACAACATCCTTAATATATCATCAATCATACCATATTTTTTCTTAGGGATTTTAAGAAACTGTTTAATATAATCGTAAGGTGGTATTTTATTTACAGTTAGAAATATTAAAATCTCATCTTCTACATTTCTATTATGTCTCCCTTTTATTCTCAACAGACATTTGATTAAAACTTGATTATCTCTCCATTCCTGACAAATTTTACATTCATCTTCTTCATCCATTGAATAATTAATAATATTATTCAATATTTTATTAGGTAAATTTAATTTATACAATTCCATATTTTCTTTTTTGAAGTGACAACAATCATAGCATTTTTTATTGATATAATTATTGATTTTATCACCGTTCATTTTCCTCTTATTATATTAAGGCACTATTTCTTTAAGTCATTTTTAAGGCATTAATAAAAATTAAGAAACTAACCATAAGTATAGTATAATTATAGCATATAATATTTTACATGTTATAATTATATTTCAATTAAGAATTAAGGATTTAAGATAACAGTCAGGCAATATGTCTTCAAATATGTAATCTACATATTTATCAATATCACCAATGTCTATATATTTGATATTGTCTTTTCCTATTATTGAATAAATATATTCCCAAAAGAATAAATACAGCAATAGACATACTTTATATTTAGTGTTGTAGTAATACCATACATGATATTTAGTTATTCTAAATTCATTCAAGACCTTGTTTATTTTATCTTTGCTTAATAAATGCCAATCAATCTCTTCAAACAAATCACGAAATTCTTTAGCAAATGATTTATATGGTTTAATGCTTAGTTCTCCTCCAAACCTTTTAATCAAATCTTTATTATTAAAAAACTCATCAATTTCTTTTTCAAATGACTCTCTATCAATTTTATTGTAAAAACATACAGGAAATCGTTTTTGATATTTCATAAAGAATTTCAATTTTAATTGAAACGTTGTATATCCCTTATCCTTATATTCTTCAACAAACAACTTTTCAAGGTCTCTTGTTATACAGCATTGATTACAATATACATCATATTCACTTATTTTATTACACAGATTAGCAGGTAATAAGTTATACAATGTAAAATTAATATCATTCTTTTTATTATTACAACATTCACACTTACTATAATTAAACAGTGTCATTTTTCCTCTTAATATATTAAGTCAATATTTCTTTAAGTCGTTTTCAAAGAATTTATTTTATAATGGCCGTAAGCAAGTGAGTTTACACTATCTATCCAATATTTTTTGTTTTCATAACTACTAAGAGCAATTTTTTTAGTTGTTATACTAAAAATTCTGTGGTTTTTACTTCTAATACTATTAAATGACTTATGTATAACCTCATTAGTTTTTAAAACCGTCTCAAACTCTTCATATTTCATTTGACGTCTTACTGTGCCTTTTGCTATGCCCTTACATTTCTTATATTTTTTTATCATCACCATAAACTGAGTAAGCATAGCATTTAGGACGAAGAGCTATAAACCCTGTTATTATTTTACTTTTTAATTCATCCTTAAATTTACCTAATACTTTCTTGTTATTATCATCATAACATTTATGTTCCTTAGGATAATCTGAAAAATCTAATTCTTTTTTAATTGTATTAAGGTCTTCATAAATGTCATTGGTTTTAGTATGAAATACAAAACTATCAGTATCAGTTCATAAATGTCATTGGTTTTAGTATGAAATACAAAACTGTCAGTATCAGTATATACCATTTTAATATTATCTCCATATTTAGGTTTCATAACGTCATAATAAAATTTATACATGTGTTGCTTACTCAAATCTAACATACTCATCCCAATAAATATAGGTTTGTCTAGTTTCAACTTTTTTTTTTGCTTTTCAACTCCAACCAAATTTTCATTAATGATATGACTATGTTTGAAGTTAGGATTACTTACACACTTCATATATCTAGTTTCATCACTCACAACTTCAAAGTCTAAATGTTTTCGCTTATCCTCCATTGTTTTTCCAAATATGGCATTGTTCATCAATTTATAAACATCTTTCTCAAAATCATTTCTAGCATTCTTCCTCTTCTCAGTGTTAAACTCAATGTAAGGTTTTAAAACTTCTTTTTGTTCAAATTTAATTGCTCTATGAATTTTCTTAAGTTTTAACCCTTGCTTCAAATAAAATTGTAAGGTTCTTATATGGATTACATATTTTTCTTTATCATTTAAGTTCAATATTAATTTATTTGTTTTCTCATCCGTAGGTTTTTTATGATTTAAAAATTCATAAATTTCAATTTGTTTATCTGACAGCATGTCGGCTTTAACATTCATAACCTCAGGTGCCATTGGATAGTCATTGTGTAAATCGTGTAATTCTTTAGGATATTCTAAATCCACTTCTAGAATATATCCAATATTATTATTCTTATAATTAATAATGTCTTCTTCTTTTAATGTATCATCCCATTTTAGATTTTTATATGGCAGTTTTTGTATCATGCTTAACCCGTACAAATTATTAGCATCAAAATAGTTAATATAACTACTTTCTTTATTTTTATCATATTCTTCTCCCATGTATTTATTATTTGCTTCAACTTTTTTAGTAGAAACCATACACATCCCGCCTCTAAGTCCCGCTTCTATCATTTCATACATTTCTTGGTCATATATTAAATCAATCTCTACACCAGTCATTTTAAGCATAGCATCAAAAGCAAAGTTAGGCAATGTATAATAATAAGCAGGGTCCAATCCATAATATTTCATACATACATCTCTAAAGTTTTCGAAAATGTCAGTCAATAATAATACATCAGTTTTCAAATATAAATCATGGTATTCACCCATATTCTTAATGTCGAAATGCTTCCATATAATTTTTGCCCTTTCATAGTCGTTAACACTTATACCTTCTTCACTCAACTGACTATAAAATCATCCTTACTCGGTAATTGCTCATCATCAAATTTATCAAATGAATTCATGTAGTCATAAGGATAAACGCCTTTATCAGTTAATAAATCTAGACATTTCTCACTCTTAATCACATCATTTTTACTACTGAACCTGAAATTATCTTTCCAGTTTTCACGCAATAACCATTTACTTTTATCTTCTTCATCTGTATTATCATACTTACTCATTGAAACTAACTTATCTAATGAAGCAGTTAAAAACCCAAAAGTGTCTTTAACACTCAAACTTTCAAAACTGATATTAATAAATTTTTCACTGTTCTGAGCGATGACACCTATTTTACTGTTGTTACTTAATTTATCAGCATTTTGAATAATTAAATGACCGTCATAATTTTTCATGTTATGAAAGAATACAGGAATTTTAAAATATCTATTACAAAAATTAAGATTGCAAACATTATGAGCACAACCTCTATACTTACCTGTAAAATGACAATGGTCTCTAACTTTTCTATATTTCTCTGCTTCCTTGGCATTTTTATAGTTCATTCTAAACTTATCCCCACAAATAAAGCAGTTTTTAGCATGTTTAAAATCTTCTTTGTCTTCATCAGTCATGTCTATTTTTTCGTTTT